GCCAAATGACGAGGCAAAAAAGTTTTTTAAGTTTGTTGAAAAGGGCCAGGAAGATTTGTATGTCGGTTGTAAAAATCATTCAAAACTTTACTTCATGGTCCGACTTTTATTTTGAAGTGTGATCATAAGCTAAGTAATGCTGCTTTTGGAGATATATTAGAGCTTATAAGGGAGGTGTTACCTGATGTAAAACTGCCAGCTTCTTTTAATGAAGCAAAAAGTGTTTTGAAAGTGTTAGGGTTGGATTACACTAAGAAAGATGCATGCCCAAATGATTGCATGATATACTAGGAAGAGCATGAAAATGCAACAAGTTGCCATGTTTTTGAGACGCCAAGATGGAAATCAAATGACACAGAGAATGACATACAAAATGAAAATGGATAGACCTATAGGATTCCCCAAAAGATTCTTAGGTACTTTCCAATAAAGAAAAGGCTTCAACGGCTATTTATGTGTCAAGAGACGGCGAGATACATGACTTGGCATGCTGATGGGTGTGAAAATGATTATCTTTTACATCATCCAGTTGATGGTCAAGCTTGGAAGGAATTTGATTCTTTATATCCAAAGTTTGCTGATGACCCACGCAATGTGAGGCTTGGGTTAGCCACAGATGGATTTAGCCCGTTCAACTCAATGAGCATTGCCCATAGTACATGGCCAGTTATGTTGATTAATTATAACTTGCCTCCTTGGATGATTATGAAGCCCGAGTATTTGATGCTAGCCTTACTAATTCCCGGTCTATATTCCCCTGGCAATGACATTGACATATATTTGTAGCCACTTATCAAGGACTTGAAGGATTTGTGGGAGTTTGGGTTGGAAACTTATGATGCTTCGACTAATCAAAGGTTTGACATGCATGTAGCATTGATGACTACCGTGAGTGATTTTTTAGGTTATGCAATGTTGTCTGGGTGGAGCACAAAAGGATACTTGGCATGCCCTGAATGTCATTACGAAATAGATTCCAAGTGGTTGCCTTGTAGTGGTAAGAATGTGTATAGGTCAAATCGTAAATTTTTGGATCCATCCCACCCTTGGCGTCATGATAAGAGGAATTTTGACGGAGAACTTGAGGAAAGATGTCAACCTATTCCATTGAATGGAATTGATATTGAGAATATGTTGCGTGATTTTCCAAATGCATTTGGAAAGAAGCAAAAGAAACCAAGGCGTGATGTGGATGATCCGACTCCTTGGAGAAAGAAACCCATATTTTTTGAGTTGCCATATTGGAAGCATTGCTCTAATGGCCATAATCTTGATGTAATGCATATTGAGAAAAATGCCTTTGATAATGTCATTGCGACGTTATTAGACATTTCTCAGAAGACCAAGGATAATGTGAGTGCTTGTCGAGATTTGGTAGAACTTAATCTGATGCCAGAGCTCCAACCAACAGAATTGGAAGAGGGTAGTGAAGAATTTCCAAGATCTCGCTTTTGGATGTCATTGGAGCAAAACCGTAAGTTCTTCCAGGTTATAAAAAATGCTAAGCTTCCTCAAGGTTATGCTTCCAACCTTAGTCGTTGTGTGCAAGTTGGAGAAAGGAAAATAGCAGGCTACAAAAGCCATGATGCTCATTTTATGATGAATTATCTTCTTCCAATTGCTGTGAAGACAACATTACCCAAAGATGTTGCTAGTCCTTTGATAAGACTTTGTGCTTTTTTCAAAGGTATATGGAGTAAAACTATTGATCCTTGAGGTCTTGGAAAATTGCAATCCGAGATAGTTGAAACTCTATGCCTACTTGAGAGGATTTTTCCACCTGCTTTTTTTTGATATTATGGAACATTTACCCATACACTTAGTAGACCAAATTAGGTTGGGTGGACCTGTGAGTTCAAGGTGTATGATAGAATTGAGAGGAATCTTCATGAAATGAAACAAGATGTTCGAAACAAGGCTCGGCCGAAGGCTCAATGGCAGAAGGATACCAAGCTAAAGAATGTGTTGCTTTCATAGCTAGATTTTTGAAACGATCAAGCAAAGCCACACCCGAAGTTAATGAGTGTGGTACCTCAAAATCATTTTTCCCTAAGGTAGGACGTCCTATTAAAGGGAAAGGAAGGACCTCAAAGGAAAAAAAAATCGTGGACACATACTTGATCGCATTACATCGGCATAAGCGCATCATTATGTCTTGTTCAATTGTGATTGTGAGGAAGTTGAGAAATATATAAGGTAAGATTTGTAACCATAATATAGGTTTATTATTATTAATATTATTTTTTAAATGTCTTCATTCTAACTCTGGCGCCTTAGTAAGATAAATATTTTATTTTTACAGTGAGCGCAAGATTTATGTAAGTGCTAAAAGGAAAAGAAAATGGAATAGTGCTCAAGACCATAGTAAGGATTTCATGGATTGGTTTAGGGATAAAGTTGATTTGATTCTTAAAAAGGCCATGATAATATCCAGGACCATATTTTGTGGTTATCAAAAGGTCCCTCTCACGTTGCCAAAAAGCACACAGGGTACTCAATTAACGATTATAGGTTTCATACCATGAAGCGAGATGCAAACTGCATAACTCAAAACAATGGTGTCACTCTTACAGCCACTATACATAGCTTTGCAAGCTCCAAAGATCAAAATCCTGTTGTGGAAAATGTTAATTATTATGGTTCAATAACTGAAATCATTGAGATATCCTATCATGGTCATTTCAGTGTTGTCTTTAGATTTCAATGGTTTCACTCAGAAAAAGATGATGATGAGCTCATTACGGTTAATATGAATAAGACCGTTTCTAAAGAGGAACCTTTTATCTTAGCAAATCAAGCACATCAAGTGTTTTATGTAGAAGATTTGAATAGAGAAGGGTGGCATTATGCTATTCAAATCCCTCCTAGAGAGGTTTCAGATGGTATTGACATACATTTTTTTTAATACTTCACTATATGTTATAAATGAGCTTATTTTACATTGCAATCCGTTTCAGTTTATTGTATTTTACATACAAAATTAACATACTTCCATTTTTTTTCCAGATGAAAAGGAGTAGACCCAAAGTTTCTGCTTCCAAAAATCAGCTTACAGAATATGAGCGGCAACGGCTTCAAAAACTAAAATTCAATGCAGAAAGAATGGAAGCCCTAGGATCGGCATCTGTTGCTAATAAGATACTTGAAGAAAAAACAAATGTCTTATTTTGTCCAAGTGCAATGCAGAATTGTACACCAGAAAATGAGGATGATGACTCTACGTCAGAATATGATGGGAAAAATGAGGTTGAAACTGATAACATTATGGCTGACAATCTCACTTCTAGAAAAAGAAAAGCCAGTAAATAGCTGTTCACTTCTATTTTGTCATTTATACAAACTGTTTTTATTGTTTATCATGGTTTACATGTAATTAGTAATGCTTTATCTTCCTTTTGATTTATAGGTTTCAAAGCAAGTAAATAAATCATCACTTTGCCCCAAAACTATGGCTGATGTTGTGGAAGTGAATAGCCGTAAGAAGCATGCAGTTGATGAAGTTCAGATAATTCACTCACTTAAGGTTGCTAGAGTTCAAGATCAATGCATCCAAAAGAAGCAGCAAGTTATCTCAGAAAAGAAGGGATCAAAACGAGCGTTCTGTTCTCCTGGTTCCATGTCAGCGTACCTCGAGTTCCGAAAAAAAGCAAAAAGAAAATAATGAAGCATTTATAGCAAGTAATTAGTCTTTGAATGATTCTCTTACAAGAAACGCAAGGATTTGTGGCGCTGCATTTAATGAGAATGACAATGATGAAGCGGATGCACTAAGTAAGAATGATGAAGCGGATGCACTAAATGAGAATGATGATGATGTTGGTAATGAATATGAGGGTGATCAAGAATTAGAAGATGAAGTTCTATCTCAGTATGGAAGGGAAGGAATGCAAGGTATTGTTTTTCTCTTATTTCCTCCCCAGCTACCTCTCCTTCTTGTTCAGTCCCTTAGCTGTTTTTCCTTTCTTTTTTCCTCCTGTTTTATGTGTTTTTCATCTACATGGGGATTTTTTTTGAATTTTCCGCTAAAGGTTTGATTATTTGGCTGCCCCTGAATTGAATTTGTGTTATCTGAATTTTGGTTAATTGACTAATGAGATGATTTCAAGTTTGTTCAGAATTATCAAAATGGATTTAATTAATAATTGATCATATTATTCATTAGTAGTGTTGGAAGATCATTCGATATTGTGCATTAAAAAGGAATTTACGTGTGGAGATGGCCGAGAGGATTGCAATTTATGGGATATCAGGAAACTTGATTAGCTATATAACGAGGAAGTTGGGGCAGTCAACAGCAATGGCGGCTTGATGCTTGGGGGTGGAATAGTTGCGTTACTTCCAATTTTAAGGGCTATTATTGCTGATTTTTTTGTTGGAAAATATTATATGCTATTATTGTTGCCTCTTTCATTTACATCTTGGTTAGTTCTCTCACTTTATTTCTCTGTCATACATTTGGAGGTTTTATAAAACTTCAATATAAGCTTTTAGTTTCCTCTATGTGCTTTAAATCTTGATGGGTATTTATGAAACAGAACAAAATTGTAGGAATCTAAATAGGAACATAAGGGAATTGAATTTATATTTATGAGGAATAAGACTGTAAAATGATTGATAAATTTACAACTCTCTATTATATATTTTTTTTAATTATTTCCTTTAGTTTACTATATAGTAGTATTTTATCTCATGAATGGCTTATCAGGGGCTGGGTTTGATGACTTTATCAGCAATGCTACCATCTTTTAATTGTCATGACCCAGAAACAGATAGCAAGGGCACTCCTGGATGTACCCAACACTCACAGATAATACTATTTTTTGTTACCCTTTATTTGGTGGTTGTTGGGCAAGCTGGGCACAAGCCTTGTGTTCCGGTTTTTTTTATTTCTATTTCCTTGTGCATTTATGTGTCCAAGAACCTCCTCATTCAGCATTTTCGTTATTATAGTACTTAGTTGATGTATTTGCAACCTCTATCTTATAACATGTTTCTTACAAATGTATACACAAAAACAGAACCTGAAAAAGCTCCTAACAGAAAAAGGCATCGAGGTCCAACAATGCAACCCAAGGTTCATGCACGAACAAGAGACGAGTGTTAAGTTATTGTTTAAACTCACTGGGCCAACCAGTTGGACCTACACGGGAAATTGTTCAGGAGTTCAAGCAATTCTTGGGTACTGTGGCTAGGGATTCTGAACTTGCACCACTAAATTATATTAACTTTCCAAGTCTACCCACACTTGGCAAAATGTGGGAGTATGTCCAAGTACGTAGTAATATAATTCATTTTGTTGGATTTCATTTTCTACATAATTAATTCCTCGTTAATACTTGGACCTCCATATGCTACATGTTACATACTAATGTTTTATTTTCATGATTTGTTTAGGAAAAGTATATGGTTCCTGAAGCTGGAAAGAGAATGGGTGATGCAGGCTATCAATGGAAGCTGGAAAGCTCATAAATGCTTTACTAAGAATAACTACTTCTCTGCATATCCCATTGATGCTTTAAGATGGTTTCATAAGCCAGACACAATTTTAGAACCTCAATTTAGAGAGCTTTTGCAATATTGGCATTCTAAAGTGGCTGAGGTATTATGTATATGGTTTTGAACTGTTTTTGTGCAATATTAACATAGTTTCATGACCAAAAAAGTCACTTTTACTATTTTTATAATCGCCTTTGTTATCATGATCGCCTTTGTTTTCAGGAGCTGTTTTTAATATAATCATGTTTATTTCTTTGATTAAGAACGTGAAGTTACTCTATGACGCATGTATTCCATACTGGACCACCTCAGCTTTCATTGAATTGGTATTTGAAGAGACACTTTGATTGTTTCCTTGCATGCATGAGAGGATATCTTCTCAACAATGTTTTTTAGAGTTTCTTTTACATGATTTTTGCTATCATCTTTCCTATTGTATTGATATTAGAAAGTAGATACTTATTCGATATTTTACGTGGTTCAAAACTATAAATCTTGATTGTGTTTTCACATAGGAATTCAGTAAGATCAACAAAGACAATCGCCTAATGTTAGATGATATGCACACTATGGGCCGTAACTCTTACGCAATTTTACGCCATAAGTTGGTAAATAATTCATCTCATTTCTAGGCAATTTTATTATTTTTATAATCTTTATTTTACAATCACTACATGAGGCTTTCACCCTTGTCCTTTAATTATTTGTAATAATCACTTCAATTTTTATGTGTTTATGTTTCCACAGCAACAAGAGGATCCTGATAAGCAAGAACCTTCTCAAGCAAGGGTCTATAAGGAGTCAAGAAAGAGAACGGTGGGAAGGAAATACCTTACCAACCATGAAAAAATAGAAGAGAATATTGTGAGTTAACATTTTAGCTGTATGATATATTTGTTTAATTTTGATAAATAATAAGTAGGTGGCTTTATTTTCCTTAAATAGGCTAAAATGGATGCTTTGGAGTCTTCCCAACATGAAGATGGTAGTAACTCTAAGGACCCTTACTCCGAAGTGATTCCAGATCCTAAGCGCAAAAGCCGTGTACGCCTACAAGGAAAAGGTGTAAAAAAGTCAGATTTGAAGAAAAAAGATAAAAAGTCAGATTTCGTATTCCCGACAGGATTTTTAGAAAGTATGCAATCTCAATTAGTACAACAACTTGCACCAAGCATAACAACTGCAATTTTGACTCAACTTCGGGATGCTAACCCTCGGATCAATTTTGTCTTTCCTGATTTTGCAATTCCATCGGCTCCAAAGGATGCATCTAGTGCGCCACATCTTCTTGTTTGACCAAAATGGGCAATCTTCTAAATCTGGTGCCACAATTAATCAGGTCACATAAAAAATTTTCTATTCCTTCTATCTAGCTTTTGTTGTTTGCTATTGACCTGTACCTACTGTTGAAATGTTGCTGCTGTTGATGTCTTTTTCTGATGCCCACTGTTGCTTTATTGCTTTTTTTTTCTTTATATGGTTGATGCTTTAGTTGTTTGTTGCTGCTTTTTATTGTTGTATGTTGTTGTTGTTGAGTTCATGCTTTTAATAGCCTGCTGTATCTCTAAATTATCAATCAGTAAGGACATGATTCTTGAGTTAGATCTTGGAACTGCTGTATAGGTGACACAGAATTCAGTTTATCTTGGAAAAACTATAGGGGAAGATACCCCTGAATAGAAGATTACTACTGGTGAAATTTGTGTGTTGTCGAAATAGTAAAATTGATATGTTCCTTACTACTTGTGTAGTTGTGTGTAGGCTGATACACAATCGGGTGGATTAAATCAGAATTAGATGGGCCATGTTAATCAGTTTTTGCTTCATTGATTAGTTACTACTCGTACTTTGCTAACTCCTTGTGTTATTGAAAATATACGGAGTACGAACTTGACCATATTTATAATATACTCTTTTAAATCCCTGTGTCCAAAAGAGATAAAGGGTTGTATTTTTAGGGACAGAGGGGAAGGAGAACCCATTGAAGCTCTGAGGCAGCTTAACATTACTCCAGTCATGGGTGGGAACATAGGGGAATTGCTGGGAGCCGTGACAGTCAGCACCCCACAACTTAAATGAAACTTTTGGTCCCCTAGAATACTTTTCTAGTTCAGAGCCTGACTTCAATTCTTGTTAAATTAGTTTTACTTGTTAAATCTTGCAGTAATTTAGTTTATGAAGGCAATATAGACAATGTGAATGTGATAGCTCTCTTTAGAGAGGATGTTGGGATGTTACTCTTTTTTTTGTTAACATGTGTTTCGTTACAGCTGGTACCCTTTCCATCCCCATATTTCTAATTTTTGGTTGCATTTTACTGAAATTTATGATTATAGTTGATCTATTTGGAGATTTATTTGATTGTGTTAGAGTTGGTTCAATGAGTTTTTATTCTTGCTCTAATATTGTCGAAGTTTATTGTATAGCTGAATTTATATATTAGGGGGATGGTTTGTTACTTATGGGATGTTGTGATTTGCTATCAATATAGAAGA